AGGAGAATTGCCTGAACCCAGGAGGCGGAGGTTGCGGTGAGCCGAGATCGCGCCATTGCACTCCATGCTGGGTAACAAAAAGCGAAACTCTGTCTCAAAAAAAAAAAACCCAGTATTAAAAGATATATACTTGTCTCCCTGTCCTCTACCTTCCCATCCCCCTTCCCTATATATTAATATAGTGTTTTTTGTTTAAATTCATTTCCAAGACATGTTTCTACACATGAAAACAAGTTACAAATTATTTTTCTCTCTTTTCACAAAAAAATTGAACATGTTTTACATGCAGTTCTCAACCTGCTTATTTCACTGAGTATCTGTCATCTTGAAAATCTTTCCATATCAGTACACAGAGTAGCTTTAGTGTGTCTTTATTGGACGGCACCATATTTAGCTAGGTTAAAAAAACCTAGGGTGGTTCTAATCTGCTGTTACAAATAACAACTGCAACAGACCATTCTGAACATGTGTCATTTTCACGTGTTACAGGCGTAGGATAAAATGCATGTAAGTTTTTTTTAGATGGAGTCTCACTCTGTAGCCCAGGCCGGAGTGAAGTGGCATGATCTCAGCTCACTGTAATCTCCACCTCCCAGGTTCAGGCAGTTCTCCTGCCTCAGCCTATAGTCCCAGCTACTGGGGAGGCTGACGTGGAAGGATCACTTCTTGAGCCTGGGAGGTGGAGGGTGCAGTGAGCTGAGGGCCTGTACCACTGTGAGACTGAACCACTGCATCCAGCCTGGGTGACAGAGACCTTGTCTTAAAATAAACAAACAAACAAAAAACCAGCCAGGAGCAGTGGCTCATGCCAGCACTTTGGGAGGCTGAGGTGGATGGATCACCTGAGGTCAGGAGTTGGAAACCAGCCTGGCCAACATGGTGAAACCCTGTCTCCACTAAAAATACAAAAATTAGCTGGGTGTGGTGGTGGGCCCCCTTAATCCCAGCTACTCAGGAGGCAGAGGCAGGAGAATTGCTTGAATCTGGGAGGCAGAGGTTGCAGTGAGCCCAGATTCTACCACTAAACTACAGCCTGGGCGGAGGTTGCAGTGAGCCAAGGTCCCACCACTAAACTCCAGCCTGGGTGACAGAGCAAGACTCCGTCTCAAAAACAAAATAAACAAAACACAAAGAAAACATCAGGACACTGTCTGTCTGTGTAGGTGCTTTACTCTTGAGGGAGTGAGTGAGCTGGGCAGAAAAGAGTATGAGAAATTATACCATATAAAAAACAACTGAAGAAACAAGGCAGTAGACTTAAGAGGCTCATGAAAGAGCTCATTAAGGCTGGCGCAGTGGCTCACGCCTGTAATCCCACCACTGTGGGAGGCCAAGGCAGGAGGATCACTTGTGGTCAGGAGTTTGAGACTAGCCTGGCCAACATGGCGAAACCTCATCTTTATAAATAATACAAAAATTAGCTGGGTGTGGTGGGGCACGCACCTGTAATCACAGCTACTCAGAAGGCTAAGGCGTGAGAATCATTTGAACTTAGAAAGCGGAGGTTGCAGTGAGCTGAGATTGTGCCACTGCACTCCGGCCTGGGCGACAGAGTGAGAACCTGTCTCCAAAAAAAA